CACAGATGTGCAAGTTGTCCATGCCATTGGCACTAACACACCACTGATACTGTGACAGATGCTGGTTTTTGAACTCGGCACTGGTAACAATCAGGATGGATCTTTTCCTCCTATGTCTGGAGAACACAGCATCACAATTTGATAAGTGGACTCAGACCACAGCACACATTTCTTCTTTGCATCAGTCCATCTCAGAAGAGCCCAGAGAAGTCGGTAGTGTTTCTGGATATTGTTGATATATGGCTTCTGCTTTGCACTGATATATGGCTTCCACTTTGGGTCCTAACTTGCATTTGTAGATGCCTTGACAAACTGTGTTTACTGAAGAGGGTTTCCCAGCCAGTGTGGTTATATTAATTACAGAAGCATGTCTATTTTTAGTCCAGTGCTGTCTGAGGGATCAAAAGTCAGGGGCCTTCAGTATTGATTTTCAACCTTGACTTTTGTGCACAGAGATTGCTCCGGATTCTCTGAATATTTTGATAATGTTATGGATTATAGTATGAATGATTGGGTATGAATTAGCATATACTTACAAAATTTGTTGATGTTGATAAGGTAAAATATGAAATTTCTCTCCTTTGTGCTATTGTCAATCACATACCAGTTTAAATAGATTACAAATCATCAGTTTTCAGAACATTTTACCTACTATCCCAACTTTTTTGCAATAGCGTTTGTACTTTGGCCAGGGGTGCCCAACTGTAGCAGTTGAATTTATCTGTTATGGTTGTGTGGGAATCTCATACTGCAACATACTATATCGTTTTTTTTTGTATTCATGTTATGTGGAGTGAGTTGGTCAGTGTAAGAGAGACTTAAGAGAATCTGCCTGATGGAGATTATGTTGTATTGCCATGTGGGGTATATCAATATGTCAGTTTCAGCTGATGCTGCAAATTATACATATCTGTATGGAAATGCTTGGAGATATATATAAATATATATTGAATATAGAACGACAGATTCCTGTAATGGATGTCTGCTATGAAATGTTTTGCATTGGATTGCTGCAATGGATTACTGCTCATTTAATACGTATATGAATATATAAATGAACAGTAATCCATTCCAGTCACGAAAAGCAAAAAAAAAAGATAGCATGATGGCAGCATTTGGCTGGTGTTTGAGTGGTGGTGGTGGGGTGAGGGGTAATCCCAGCATTAGTGTGAAATGGGTCAGTGATAAAACCAGCAATGTGCTGCTTTCAAGCACTACTGGAAATGTGGTAAAATGTAAATTATGAGCACATTAAGGTCCTTAAGGTTTTTGAAAAAATTAAAATCCACATTCAAACCCACTGATTCATTTCTCATTCTTTCATTGCTTGTCTCCATTCTTCAGCCAGCTTTATTCATTTTTCTGTCTCTCTTAAAGCGCCTGCGACCTTGAACAGTACGCTTCAAAATTTGATGTTTTTCTGTTAGAAATGGGAAATTGTAAAACAGTTTTTACATAAAAATCACAGTTATAAAGGCATAAACAGGGCTGGGCCATAAAGGATTATGCATAAAATGCCAAAAAAGTAACTTAGTATTTTATTACTGTTAGACAGACAGTAATGAGATTACAGACACTAAGTCGATACACTGCACGATTGCACTCCAAATATTTTCACAGAAGCAGCATGTTCCTTTTCTTACACTGAAGAGATAAATGTCAACGTCAGAAAATTAAAACAAAAGGTTAACCCTGACACACTGATGATGCGTTTGCCTTCTGGTGTTCGCTGTGCAGATATGTATTTCAAACTATAGAAAATCATTTTTAAGCAGTTAAAGGATCTCATGAAAAAAACAGGAATTCCCAAAACTGGAGTTAATGAAATTATTAAAAAATTGAGATTATTTGAATCATGAGAAAGCAAAGTAGCAACCAACTTCTAAGACCAAGCTTTGGAAAAAAATCCCTGCAATTTTTTTTGAAAAACTGAAAGTAAGTCTCTTGAAAAAAAATAAGCTGTAATTAAGGCAAAGGGTGGACACCCTACATATTGAGAAAAGTAATATTACATCATTATTGTATAATTGTTTTCTGTTAAACATATGTTTTCTGCTTTTTTCCTGACGCTGAAAAATGAATAACTTGTGCTTAAAGGCCGTTTTGACTGTAAAGTAGATAAATAAAGGGTAGTCTCTGACTCCTGCACAGTATATCAGTGATACATGGATGATACAAAGGTGGATTGTTGGATGTGGAATGGATGGGTGGACAGATAGAAGTTTGGATGCATGGATTGATGAAGCAATACACAACTACTTCAGAGAGAAGAAAGATGAGCATGTGCAGGTGGATGGATGAATGGATGGATGGGTGGATGGATGGATGGATGTACAGCCTCTACTTTGGAGAGAAGAGAGGCGGGAGGATGGATGGATGAATCCATGGGTGGATGGATGGATGGATGAATGAATAGATGCAGAATGAAAGGGTGAGTGGATGGATAATTGCATAAATTGATGAATGAATGCACAACTACTTGAGATTAAAAGGTGACAGAAACAGGATGGATGGATGGATGAATAGATGGACAGGCTCTCTACTTTTGAGAGAAAAGAGGTGAGAGGATGGGTGGATGGATGGATGGATGGATGGATGGATGGATGGGTGGGTGGGTGGTTGGGTACGTGGATGGATGCATGGACAGCCTCTCTACTTGGGAGAGAAGAGAGGTGAGAGGAAAGATAAATGGCTAGATGGATGAATGGATTGATGGACAGGCTCTACTCTGTAGAGCAGAAAGGTGAGTGGATGGATGAATGAATGGATGGATGGTTGGGTGAGTGGATGGATGGATGGATGGATGGATGGACAGGCTCCCTACTTTGGAGAGAAGAGAGGTGAGAGGATGGATGGATGGATGAATGGATGGATGGGTGGATGGATGGATTGATGGATGGATGGATGGATGAGTGGATGGACGGGTGGATGGATGGATGGATAGGCTCTCTATTTTGGAGAGAAGAGAGGTGAGAGGAAAGATAAATGGCTAGATGGATGAATGGATGGATGGACAGGCTCTACTCTGTAGAGCAGAAAGGTGAGTGGATGGATGAATGAATGGATGGATGGTTGGGTGAGTGGATGGATGGATGGATGGACAGGCTCCCTACTTTGGAGAGAAGAGAGGTGAGAGGATGGATGGATGGATGGATGGATGAATGGATGGATGGGTGGATGGATGGATTGATGGATGGATGGATGGAAGAGTGGATGGACGGGTGGATGGATGGATGGACAGGCTCTCTATTTTGGAGAGAAGAGAGGTGAGACGATGGATGGGTGGGTAAATGGATGGATAGGCAGGCTCTCTAGAGGAATGAGAGGTGAGAGAACCTGGCATATAAATAGAAACTGAAATCACAGAAAGATGATTTAACTGAATTAAATTCAGTTCTAATTATATACCACTGTTTAAATCATAGCCCTGAAACAGCTTTACAAGACAAATCAATCAAAAGAATGAAAAAACCTGTGGCTGACTGTGTTAAATACATAAACACATCTCATCACTGTCATGTCAATTCTTACATTACATTGCATTAACATTCTTTAGAGTTAGGAATGTTTTTTCTTTCTCTGAGTTACCATTTTGAAAATGTAGGGGTTTTTATTTTTTTGCAAAATGAGAACATGGTAGGCAGAGAGGTCAGTCTGTAAGGGTGGTTATATATTCTTTTATATAAAACTTTTTATACAGCTTCAGGTTATCAGTCATTAAAAAGAACTGGTTGTGTAATCTAACCTTTCCAAACTGGGCCTGATAGTTGGAGGTCTAATTTAGCACCCAAGCTGCTTAGTGTGATGTAAGTCACAGTGACAGCTGATGGACAGAATGGTTCTGCTTCAGCATAACGAAATTCATGGAACTGATCAAAGAGGTGACTCATTGAAATAATGTGACGATGAACGGCTTCATAAAATCTCCCGTTTGTCACTAATGAAAAGAAAATCCAACATAATGTCCTGGGGGAGGCTTGTAAATGATGTCCCTTAAAATCACTTTACCTTCAAAATTCAGCTGTAACGTTAAAGTGATCTGTTCCAGTTTTTAGACTAGTAATTGGTTTTGCAACATTAGAGAGATTTTATACACATCTCTTTGTCCCTCTGCAGTGCTTAAGCATTCCACAAGACATGGATGTTCGTGTAATCAGATTTTGGAGCTCGGAATCTGTTCCATGTTTTCTTGAATGAAAAATGTAACCAGAAGCCTGTAGCAACAACTTGGAGGCAAAACATGTCAATATCAATGCAAAAGAATTTAGCTGTGATGCTGCAGCAAATAATCAGCCTTACTGTAAAGGAACTTTCCAGCATTTTTAACTTAACTCTTTTCCGTGTCTATATGGGAGCAACAGTCCATTGGCTTCTATTATAAGTGTGTTTTGCTTTTTTATGGACAGAATGCTGTGAAAATTGTCTTGTGGTAACTCACCGTACGCTACAATAGAGCGTATAGCTTTTAAAACATAGGCTTATTATAAAGTTAATAACGTTAGTCATAATATTTCTATGAAATTGATAGGAAAGCTACATAGTTATGAGTGAGGCATTGAAATGTGCACTTTAAGGGGTTAAATGATGCTTATCCTGAATTTATCCCTCGTTTTGCAAGCGTTTGGGCGGCTTCAGGATGGACAATAGGCCATCGATTGTAGGCTGAATAATGCTCGCTATTTAAAATAGATCAGGCTTTGCCCTGGGCTACACAACCGCTGTGCTTAATGCAGAGGTCACATCTGTGTGCTAGACACAAACAAATAAGCATGCGTGTACACACAAATGCTTTACATACACCCACACACACATGTGTGTGTTTGTATTTAGACTTTTAAAGCCTTCTTTATAAACTTGAAGAGCCACTATTCTTGTGTCCCATTGTGTGGGCGTCTGCTTGTGAAGGATTGGTTTATTTACTGACGTTCTCCACATCTGAAACATTCTTTCATTCTGATAATGATTATGACAATGATGATATTGTGTTTCTGTCCCTTTAGATGATGAAGATCCATTCCAGCCGGTGACTTCAGATGAGACAGTGGCTGTAGGGGGCACGGTGACCCTGACCTGCCGTGTGGCAGAGAGCGATAACTCCTCACTGCAGTGGTCCAACACTGCACAGCAGACTCTATACTTTGGAGAAAAGAGAGGTGAGAGAAAAGGGCGGCTGGGTAGATGGATGAATATATGTATGTATGGATGGATAAGTGGATACATGGATGAACGGATATATGGACATGTGGATAAATGGATGGATGGATGAATGTAGTTGAATACAGCTGCAGTCGTATGCAAACATTTGAATATCTCTCATCAAAATGACATTTTGTTGATTTTCTAAATGAAAACAAGTTAACATGCTCTACAGCGAGCAAATGTAAACATGGCATTTTACTACCAAAAAAATAATAAAACAAAAATAAAAATGTGCCATAACTTTTGCACAGGCCACATTTTATATTGTAATTTGACTGGTGAAAACATTTATATAGAGTTGTGCAAAAGTTTGGGCACCCTGTGCAGATGATGTTTTGTTGAAAATAAGTGAAAATAAGTAATACATGGCTGGATGAATATATGAATACATGGATGGGTGGAAATATGGATGGACATATAGGTAGATATATGGATGAATGGATGGATGGATGGAAAACTTTTAATGGAAGCTAGTGGAGAAATCATTTATTCTAAGTAACTTTGGGCCATTTCTACTGCTCCATTCAGCATTGGAAACAATATATACCTGGCAATTTCAAAACAAATGAAAAACATATGTATATGGATATATTAATGGATGGGTGGGTGGAGGGATAGATATATGGTTGGGGGGTTATAGCTGGATGGGCAGAGATTATGTCGTTGAGATGTGAGAAAAACAAGCAGATTGGGATGAGATATGGTTGGATGGATAGAGGAATGGATAGATGGGTGGGTGGAGGGATAGATGGACAGGTTCTCTACTTTGGAGAAGAGAGAGATGAGAGAAACCAGCATATAGATGAATGGATGGGTGGACAGATAGGTGGATAGATAAATGCTCAACAAGCTCTCTACTTTGAAGAGAAGAGAGGTGAGAGAAACAGACAAATGGATGGATAGATAGATGAATGGATTGGATGGAGGGATTGGTTGACTGGATGGATGGATAAAGGCATATCAGACTATTTCAGAGAGAAGCAGGTTAATGGGTGGAGAGAGATAGATGGATGAATGGTTGAATGGGATGAATGAAGAAAAAATGTGACAGAAATAGTGATGGGTGGAGAGAGGTTAATGAATTCACAGATGGAGAGGTAGATGAACGGATGGACAGATATACTCAGAAAGACTAAGGAGAAAGATGGAGAAAGACCTGTTTCAAGGAGAAAGCGTAAGAATGTATGAATAAACCGGGAGAGAGAGAGAGAGAGAGAGCAGTCTAAGCTGGGGGGAAGAGCAGAAGGCAGAAAAAGGTGCATTAAATGAAGGACTGAGTGAGAGAAAGTGTGCAGAGCAAGAGAGCAAGTGATCCACTAAAAGGAGGAGAGAGGTCAATAAAAGAGGAGGAAAACATACACACACACACACACACACACACACACACACACACACACATACACAAACTTTCTAATGCACGTACAGTTTTGGGGACTTTTTTGCTTTTTTTTGCATTTGAGGGAGGATCAGATGCTAAAAATATTCAGACACATTTCCTTTTGCTCCTTCTGAATCTATTAAATCACCTCTCCAGCTAAATCATTCCCTCTGTATTAAAGAAGACTGATCTGAGTTTGAGGGCAGGACTTCAGATGTTGTGGGGGAGTAGCATGAAGGGACGGAGGGAAGATTACAGAGAGGGATAGTTAGAGATGGAGAGTGGGCGATTAGACATGGGGAGGAGAGAGAGAGGGAGAGAGAGAGTAGATGTAACAGATTGGAGGTCAGTGGAAAACAGTGCCTTATGAAGACAAATTAACTGACCTTCATTTACTGATAAACCATGAAGACAACACACACACACACACACACACACACACACATACACACACACTTTCACAAGATTACACCCTCTCACAGCCGCAGCTGCACTCACACTCATGCACACAGGTTTCTTTTTATGCCATGTTAGAGCATGATGTCATACATATATTACTGTATTATATAATATGCAATGATTTCCATGTGTATCTATATACATGTAAGTACCTATATGTAATAACAATAATAGATACTACTTTTCAATAAGACTGCTCTTATGTAGGGTTTTTAAACACCTTTAAAATAATTAATAAGCAGCTATGTCACATGAACAGAAAGGCAACTGTGACCTGTTGCTTGTCAAACAGTGAGCCCACATTTATCTATAATGTTGCTCAGATATTGTTGGTTATTTATCTTTGTTTTCTCCCTCAGTCAGCACTAAACCTGTCAGCTTCATCAGATATTCATATTCATCACATAGAAAAGCTGACTGTAGCCCTTTTATTAATGTGTTATAACAGATTATGAATACATTTTAAGGTTTTAAATTAATACAAGAGGGTTAACTAAAGTGGTACCTAATAATATAAACTGCACATATGAGTACCTATATGTAATAATGTCCCATATATATTATATAAATACATGTCACAATATGTCCCATATGTGCATATGTGCAATAATAAGAAGTCTTATATGTATTATATATGTAAGTAGCTATATGTACTAATAATACATCCCATACACACATATATATATATATATGTACACGTGTGTGTGTGTGTGTATGCGTGTGTGCGTGCCATGGGAGATATGTAAGTTAATTTAATTTAGCCCTAACCAAATGCTCCTCTTTCAGTTTTAAACAATGAAACATGCATTTCTAATAAAAGGCACTTCACAAAGTCAGGACAATTTTGTTGGTACAAAATTTTCTCTTTTGTCCTAACAAAGTCTGGACATTTTTACTATGAATTTGTATGAAAACGAGCACGCCACCCCCCCCCAAACACACACTCACACACACACCCACACACACATTTACTGTGTCTGCATCATAGGATAATTGCTTTTCTTCCAGCTCAGTGAGTGGAGTATTTGTTGTCTCCATGCTTTATTCATTTTCAGCATCACTGTATGATGAACTAACTACTACTTTCTCAAGTCTAAAACTCATTAGCCAGAGGTACAGTCTGAAGACACAAAGATTTGAGGCAGAAATAAGTTCCAAAAAAGTTCCATCTTCCCCAATGACAGCCTTCCTCATCCCTTTCTTTCTCTCTTTCCTTTCTTCTGTCTCTCAGCTCTCAGAGATAACCGGATCCAGCTGCACAAGTCCACGCCCACAGAACTGTCAATCACCATCTCGGACGTGCAGCTGTCAGATGATGGAGAATACACCTGCTCCATCTTCACCATGCCTGTACGGACTGCACGCGCCACCGTCACCGTGCTGGGTATGTACATACATGTGTGTACACTACCGTTCAATAGTTTGGAATTACTGTCTTCAATAATATTAAATTGCAATGTGGCTGAAGACAAATGGATAAAATAATTTTAATAGTCCTGTGCAGCAAAGATATGAAGTACAAAGATAAAAAACTGCGAATAAAAATGAATCTAAAAACATCTAAAAATAACTTTTTAAAAAAAATTTTAAAGCTCTTTTATCACTGCTGTTTTGTTAGTTATTAGTGTGTATAAAAGGACAAAAGTCATTCATTGATAAGTGATTCTAAACTGTTGAACAGTAGTGTGTGTGTGTGTGTGTGTGTGTGTGTGTGTGTGTGTGCATGTTGGCCGCAGCTGCTCTGTTAGATTCTGTGGATCTGGAGTAAACACTCTAATTAGGTCTTGATTAGATCGTAAGTACATGATTGTCAATTATCAATCTCTCTCTCTCTTATTCTCTTCCTCTCTCTCTCAATCTCTCTCTCTCTCTCTTTCTCCTCTGTTTCCTCTTTCTGTCTGTCACCTCATTCTCTCTCTCTCTCTCTCTCTCTTTCTTTCTCTTGTTTCCTCTTTCTGACCACCTCCTCTGTTTTTCTCCTCTCTCTTTCTCTCTTTCCTCTGTTTTCCCCTCTCCTCTGTTTCCTCTTTCTGTCTGCTACCTTTATTTCTCTCTCTCTCTCTTTCTCTCTCTCTCTCTCCTGTTTCCTCTTTCTGACCATCTCTGTTTTTCTCCTCCCTCTTTTTCTGTCTCTCTCTCTTTCTCCTCTGTTTTCCCCTCTCCTCTGTGTCCTCTTTCTGTCTGCCACCTCTGTTTCTCTCTCTCTCTCTCTCTCTCTCTCTCTCTATCCTGTTTCCTCTTTCTGACCGCCTCCTCTGTTCTCCCATGCTCTCTCTCCTGCTTTCTCTTTCTGTCTGCCGCCTGTTTCTCTCTCTCTTCCCTTTATGTTTCTCTTTCTCTTTTACTTTCTCTATATTTTTGTCTCTCTCTCCTTCTCTGTTTAAATCGCTCTCTCAATCTCCTGTATCTTTTATCTCTCTCCCCTCTTTATCTCTCTCCCCTTCTCTCTCTTCCTGTATCTTTATCTTTCTTTCCCTTCTTTATCTCCCTCTCTCCTGTGTTTATATCTTTCTCACCCCCCACATCTTTATTTAACTCTCTGCTGTCTTTATTTCTCTTTTCCCTCTCTTTATATCTGTCTCTCTCCCACCCCCTTTCTCTCTTCCTGTATCTTTATATCTCTCTCTCCGATCTTTTCTCTCTCCTCTGTTTAAATCTCTTTCTCACCCCTGTATCTGTATATGTGTACATCTTTCCCCTCCTTATTTCTCTTTCCCCCTGTTTATATCTCTCTCCCCTCGTTTTATATATCTCCCTCTCACCCACTTTCTCTCCTCTTGTATCTTTATATCTCTCTTCCCTCTTTATCTCTCTCGTCTCCCTTTTTCTCTTTCTCTTACCCCATCTCTCTTCCCTCTTTATTACTCTTTCCCCTCTATTTATATATTTTTCTTCCCTATTTATCTCTCTCTGTTCTGTTTATATCTCTCACCCACCCTTCTCCCTCTATCTTTACATCTCTCTCTCCCACATTTCTTTCTCTTTGTTTATATATTTCTCTCCATTCTTTTTCTCTTTCCCTCTTGCTGTCCCTCATCCCCACTCTCTCTCTGTTTCTCTCGTTGTATCACTCACTCTCGCTATCTCCCTTTATATATATTTATCGCTTCTTTCTCTGCCTCTCTCTGTCTCTCTCCTCCCTGTACCCCTCTCTCTCTCTCTCTCTCTCTCTCTCTCTCTCTCTCTCTCTCCCTCTCTCTCTCTCTCAGGTGTTCCTGGTAAGCCGGTGATATCAGGGTTTGAAGATGCGGTGCCAGAGGGGGGGAGTGTAACTCTGACCTGCAGCAGTACAGGCAGTAAACCACCTGCTCAGCTGCACTGGTACAGAGGAGCCGAGAAGCTGGAGGGTACGCACACTCTCACACACACACACTCTCACACCTACACACTCACACATATATCACCCATATTGTAAGAAAACCTGCTAACACCACTAGAGAACACCAGCTGCTGTACAGGTGATAGCAGGCGAGGAGACGATACATGTGGGAATTCTGTTCATTAAAGTCTTGTGGCCACTTGCATGAAATATCTTAAGTGTATTTTGTACATTTCCACTTACAGTCCTCTTAATCTTAAGAGAGCTGCAGAAAATCACTCCAGGGAGATACTTGTGGAAAGTGAAAAAAATACTTAAGGCTAAATTAAGCTTCAGTTTCATTTCAGTGTTAAAATACACAATGCTGTAAAACATTTATGAATAACCCATAATAAAAAGACTACCTAAGATGTTCGATACAATGCACTTAAGTGAGGTAAATGTATCTCTTAAGTATAAAAGTTATGGATAGACAAATACAGACCAGCAGACACTGCATACACTCATATTACTTACCCAAAGGTAAGTAAACTGAAAGACACAATAGTGTTGCTCTAATACATTTTATTCATGTGGAAATGATGTACACATTTGACTGAAGTAGATTGAGTAAATCACTTTTTTCACTGTAGAACGAGCCAACAGTGGAGATAAATGGAAAGTAACGATAAACGTAGACAGCTAAAAAGACACAGCAGCATACAATGAATACAGGGAGGCACTATAGACTAGACACAGGTGACAGCAATGACAAATGGGCGGAGCCAGGGTGGACCAGAGACAGAGGCTGCACTTCATTCTACAGCAGTAGCAGTACCCTTATATTCTCCACACACTGGGCATGAGATGTCAGCTTCGGAGTGCCCTGCATCATCATCATCATCAAACATAAAGCAACACTACTCTTCAAGAAAATCCAGTAACTGATGGGTAAACTTTCTTGTGAAGTGATAAACCGTTGTTCACTTCTCTTTAATCAGGTTGACATTCTCATTTTCACTCCCTGTGGTTTGGGATTGCCCTTAAAATATCTGAATACTCTGGGTAGTCGACTTTGCAGGGAGCTAAAAAGGCAATTGGAATGCACTTAGAGAAGGAGATAGAAAGGATTCAGCTGTCCTTCACATTGTGTAAACATCTTATGGTGAATGGAAGTGAATTTGAAGTGAACCGAGCACAGTTACATTAAGAGATGTTAACAGAACGTTTTTTTTGGCTAGAATATTATTGTTTTACCGAAACATGAGTTTTTATTAGGACAATGATTATGTGTCCACACTATGTAGAGAATCCAGTGTAATTTTTCATGTCTATGTGTGTGCGTGTGGGTGTGAAGGCCGTCCTGATGTGGTGGAGTCGAACCCTAATGAGCCAACCTACACAGTGACCAGTGTTCTAACGCTGCTTGTAACCAGGGACGACAACAATGCTATGATCGCCTGCGCTGTAGACCACCCATCCATCTCCAACGGAGACAAGAGGACAGAACAGCCTCTCAGCATACTGTGTAAGACACACACACACATGCACACGCATTTGTTTTTATACTTTATCAGGACCTGGGCTCTTGCATACATTATATGTCCAAAAGTTTGAAGACAACTGTTTGTCCAGTGTTTCTTCTGAAATGAAGGGTATTAATGGGGAGTTTGTTCACCCTCTACTATTCTGGGAAGGCTTTACACTAGATGTTGGAACACTGCTGTGAGGATTTGATTGCATTCATTCACAAGAGCATTAGCAAGGTCAGGTACTGATGTTGGATGATTAGTATTTTATGTATGTAAATATTTCCGTTTATCCATTTTCAAACCTCTCCTCTAGAAATTCCTGTGTTAATTGTAGTTAATATCCAATACCTGATGTAACTAGTCAATAATTCCTGTTACTTTTTAACCCATTAATATTTTTTGTATTTATTTGATTGTTGTATGGTGTTATTACAAGCAAAGTCACACTTTTTGTCCAGATAAATAGCTTTAAACAGTTTAACCGGATGTACAATACTTCCATACTGTACTATGAATATTCTAAGCCTAAACTTTAAAACTCTTAATCTTAACCTCAGTAGCCAAAAAAATAGTTACACTCTTTTTCGTTTTAAACAAATGAACCATGGAGCTTTTATGAAAGTGCTTTATAAAATAAGGACCATTTTGTTGGAACAACTCAAGGTTTCAAATTGCTTTTCAAAATCAAATTCAACAGGACACAACAGGAGAAGTGTCATTCTTTAGGACCACATCTTACTGTTCACTGCTGATAAACAATAGAGATTTGAAAATTGGTTAAACAGTAAGAGTATAAAAAAATGTGTTTCTGTTTCTATATGTTTCTGTTTTTTTTTCAAGTCACTCCGAGTGTGACGATCAAGCCTGAGAGTGATCTGCCCAGAGAGGGAGAGAAGTTTCACCTGCAGTGTGTTGGCTATGGAAACCCAGAGTAAGAGCACTCACATGCATACATACATTAACAAGGACACACAGTGTCAGTGATGAGAAACACTGCTCTTCTGAAGCGACAAAAACTGTTTTAGTGCTAATAGCTCCCCCTTGTGGAGAATCTGCAGCCTGAGAAAGGTGAGTGAGTGAGTTACAAGCTGGGTGCCTTTTAAATGCTTTGCATCTAAAATGTGTGCATCAATTCAGAAATAAGAAAATATATTACATCTACACAATTACTGCCAAACTGTAAATAAACAAACTGAAAGGCAGAATTGTATTGATGTAATAGTAATACTTTATTCATGTGAAAGTTCAAGTCAGTTCAATACAGCGTACACACACACACACACACACACACACACAGACGCACACACATTTACTCCCATCCTGACATTTGTTCATTATAGATGGAGTTTTAGATGGATAGCAGATTGATCTCCTCTTCACTCTCTCACTCACTCACTCACTCACTCGCATCACCACTTTCATTCCTCTCCTTCTCCTTGTCCTTGTTCTACACATTCTCTCCCTCTCTTTATCTCTCACACCCACCTTTTCCCTCCTTTATATTCTATTTCTCTTGCCTCCTTTTTCTTTCCTCCCCTCTCTGTCCATTTCTGTCTCTCGCTCACTTTTCCCCATAAACCTTTTTTTCTCTCTCTCGCTCTTTTTCTCTCACTCCCTTTTCTTTTACTTCTTCCATTTCCTTTACTCTCTCCCTCACATCCCCTCTCTCTCATTCGTTTTCCCTTTTTCTCTGTCCCTCACCCAACTTTGCCTTCCTTTTTATCTCCTTTCTCCTTTTCCTTTCTTCCTTTTTTACTTTCATCTCTCTCTCATTCTGTCTGTTTCTCTCTCACTTAATTTTTCCCTTGTCTTTATTTCTACCTTTTCTTTTTCTCTCTCTCTCTCTCACTCTCTCTTTCTGTCTCTCACTTATTTTCCCTTCTTTTCTTTCCTTTCTCTCTCTAATTCTGTCTCTTTCTCTTTCTCTCTCACTCACCTTTTTCCTGTCTTTATTTCAGCTTTTTCTTCTTTCTTTCTCCATTTCTGTCTCTCATCTTTCTTCTTTTTTCTCCTTGTTTCCCCTCTCTCTCTGTTTCTGCTTCTTTTTCTTTTCCTCTTTCTCACTTTCTCCCTCTTTCTCTCTCTCTCATTTACAACCCCAATTACAAAAAATGGGATGCTGTGTAAAATATAAATAAATGTAAATAAAAACAGAATGCAATGGTTTGCAAATCTTATAGAACCATATTTTATTCACAATAGAACATAGAACACATATCAGATCATATCAGACAATTTTGCAATGCATGAAAAACATTAACTCATTTAAAACTTGATGGCAGCAATGCATCTCAAAAAAGTTGGGACAGGGCCATGTCTACCATTGTGTAGCCTCCCCTCTTCTGTAAACAACAGTCTGTAGATGTCTGGGAAGTCAGGAGACCAATTGCTGGAGTTTTGGGAGAGGAATGTTGCCCCATTCTTGTCTGATATAAGATTCTAGCTACTCAACAGTTCTGGGTCTTCTTTGCCAGATTTTTCATTTCATGATGCGCCAAAGGTTTTCTATTGGTAAAATGTCTGGGCTGCAGGCAGGCCAGTTCAGCACCCGGACTCTTCTTCTGCGAAGCCATGCTGTTGTGATGGATGCAGTATGTGGTTTAGCATTGTCTTGCTGAAATATGCAAAGCCTTCCCTGAAAGAGATGTTGTCTGGATGGCAGCGTATGTTGCCAAAGCCTGTGTATTTCGTTCAGCATTAATGGTGCCTTCACAGATGTGCAAGAAACCCATACCATGTGCATTAATGCACCCCTATACCGTCATGGGTGCCGGCTTTTGAACTGTGTGCTAATAACAAGCTGAGGGGTCTTTAGCCCGGAGGACACAGTGTCCATGATTTCCAAAAAGAATTTCAAATTTTAATTCATCAGAACACAGGACACTTTTCCATTTCACCTCAGTCCGTTTTATATGAGCTCAGGCCCAGACGGCGGCGTTTCTGGATTGTGTTGACAGATGGCATCTTCTTTGCATGATACAGCTTTAACTTGCACATGTGGATTGTACAGCGAACTGTTTTCACAGACAATGATTTCTGGAAGTGCTCCTGAGCCCATGCAGTGATTTCCACTACAGAATCATGTCTGTATTTAATGCAGTGCCGCCTGTGGGCCCAAAGATCACAGCCAGCCAATATTAGTTTTAGGCTTGGTCTCTTGCATACAGAGATTTCTCCAGATTCTCTAAATCTTTTAATGACATTATGTACTGTAGATGATGAAAAGCAGAAGTTTTTTTCTATTTTACGTTTACGTTCACATTTTACACAGCGTCCCAACTTTTTTGGAATTGGGGTTGTAGTTCCCCTCCCTTTTATTTTGCCCTGCTCTTCTTTCTTTCTTTCTTGCTTTCTTGCTTTCTTTTCGTTCTCTCTTGCTCACTTTATTCTTCTCTTTGTTTCTTTCTACTCATTTTGCTTTCCTGTCTGTTTTCTGTCTCTCATTCATTTTTTCCCTCTTTCCTTCTTTCCCTTTCCTCTCTCTCTCTGTTTCTTTCTCTTGCTCACTTAATTCCTCCTCTTTATTTCCCTCTCCTCCTTTTCTTCCACTCTTTCTCACTTTTCTCCCTCTTTCTCTCTCTTTCTTTCTTTCTTTCTACTGATTTTCCTCTTTCTCTCCCTCCCTCTCTCTCTCCTTCACCCCTTCGCGGCTGACAGAAACTCTGAGTAGTTCCTCTTGATGCTCTGCGTGAGGAAGAGCCAGGTGGACAGATGCAGAGATAGAGGGAGAGAGAGAGTCAGAGCTTTGAAGAAAGTGAAGCGTCTGAAGCACTGTTAAAGGCAGGCTCACCATCGGGTACAAAAGGGATATCCTATTATTTTTGAACTCATTTTCTGTCTGTGTTCCACTGTGTTTCTGTTTCGTTTAGCTGGGTTTTAAATACACCGGCTCAGTTCTGGAGGGCGCACTGTGTCAGAAAAGCTTCCAGCAGGTTTTAAATTAGAGTCAGTTCGGATCTAAACTGAGCCTGACTCGTACGAATTTCAACTTGATAGCAGTTCAGCGACTTTATGTCCTCGAGTGGTTGTACAATCCATTTTATCATCCTGGCAAGGGCGAGACAGGGCAGAATTACATGTAATCTCGCAATTTGGCTGCTAACAAGCCAACAAGCTAATCTGCAGCGAGCTAACTGGCTGTACAATTGAAGTGAGTAAACAATTGAGTCATAGTAAATAGAGGGAAGAACCCCTTCCAGCTGGTTTGTGGTTCGTACAACCATACAAGTAGTGGTTATAATAGATTTTCAATCACGCAATAGCATGCTAGCAGTAACATGCTAGCATGCCTTGTTGATATGCTGTAGCTAATACTATTAGAATGCCTACTTGGACACACTGTAATCTTTTTCTCAACCAAGGATGGATTTAACATCACAATCTCTGTCCATGACCTCCATCCAGTATGCGTTTATCATTGGATTCTCTTTGCATTTAACCAGTATTCTGCTTTCTTTCACCTTGTGACACTGTGTAAGCTGCATAACAGCCTGGTAATGATGTCAGTCTTGGCTCTTTCCAGCATAATTTAACATGGACAAACATGCTTAATAATACATGTATTATTCCTGCATTATAAATGCATAAATAGCCACCTCACATTACCTCAGATTCTGGATGTGGATCCTGATGCAGGGCAGCTCATTTTTATTGGCAAAATAGTGTGCTGCAATGGGATGCATGACACATTTACTGTGACATGATACTGTACAGTGGACCAGTTTCACTAAATCAGCTGAAGCACAATTGGACATTACTGAGAATGGGCTAACTTGTATCAAAAGGGATGGACAGTTAAAGGAGTAATCAGGCGAAAAATCACTTTATAGTCCCTGAATATAGTCAGTCTTGCCAAGACAGCAGTGGTGTCTGAAGTTTGCTTATTTAGTGTTGTACCAGACTTACTGCTAATCTAGCTAACAATCAATGGAAAAAAAGTAGTTTGCATAGTTAAAACAGTAGCAGCAGCCATGAAGTCTGAATGTTATCATTGTAAAGAATTTCACTGTAAAATTACAGTATTTTTCTGACTACTAGTAGCATTACTTTCACACTAGTTTACTGTAGCAGATAATAACAGTAAACAACAGCAGCTGCATTCTGCCGTACACACAGTAATACTCTGTAATTAAAATACAGTGATCTCCTGTGTTCTTACATAACAGCTGTATAAGTAAAGTAGCCAATAATTTACTGTTAATTTACATATAAAAACTTTGAATTTGACCAGTTTTATAATACACACACAAATTGTCTAAGCCGCTTATCCTTCAGGGGCTGCTGGAGCCTAGCTCAGCAGTCATTGCGCGGAAGGCAGGAAACACCCTGGACAGGTCGCCAGTCTATCACAGGGCCAGACCTATAATAAATATGTTAATTTAAAAAATAAGGCTTTTTATCTTTGCTTACTATTTGCACTAATATGACGAAACACAAAACGATAACAACCTAAATACACAAACATATATGCATCAGCATAAATATGATAAGTGGAAAGAGGCTGTGTCAAATGTTGGTAATTTATATTCTACCACAAATTAGAAGAGCTAATATCAGCACAGTAACACTGAAATATATTCCTGTAGTATATTTCGATGAATCAGTAAATAGTTAGTTAGTTGTTTTGAATTAGTTTTGGGGGGAATTGTTTACTTTGGGAGGCTTAGTTTTAAAACTAACTTTAAAACTAACTGGTGTGGAGGCTGCGCCTGGCTCAAGAGTTCTCAAGCTTTTCCACCTTAAGGTCCACATATTTATCACTAGAAAGCATGAAGGCCCACAGGAAAATTTTAAAAGCATAATGCCATAAACTTCACAGACTGCTGTGGTGTGCAGAGCAGGCACCAGCTCGCAAAAGTGTGTTTCCTGTCGGAGAGATAAAGCACATACACACTTTATCTGTGTACACATCGACATACAGATATCCGAGTC